CCAGACCCTCGGAATGCCCCCCGTGCCCTTCAGAATGAACGCCACAAAGACAGAGGTCAAGATGTCCGATGCCCACACACCAAAGGCTCCACGTCCTAACAACAGGGCCCCGCAGTCCTGTGACCACAGACACGGGACAGAGATCAGGGGCCGGAGGCACTCTGGCCGCGGGGAGGCCGCGGGGCTGCTGCGGGGCGGGACTTCTACACAGACTGTCGTGTCCCCTCGAAGGCTGTGCTTCTGCGGTTCTGCCACACAGGCGCGCGCACGTGTGTGGGCAGCTGCTCGTGTGAGTGCTTTATAAAGTCTGAAATGGGAATATGCTTGAGCACAATTTTGCTTTAACAACAACCAAGTTTAGGTTGTTTGGGGCATGCAGGAGGCAGCTCATCATTGATGTCTCTCTCTCCTCTCCCTTCCTCTCTGAAATCAGTACAATTATATCAAACCATAGACATGCATTTTTTTTTTTTTTTTAAAGAAGCAGGAACATAAAGACCAGAAGAGTAGGAGACACTGCTCCCAGATGGAGAGGTCACATCATTCGAGCGGCACCCGAGGCAGACAGGCTTACTTACAGGCGGCTTATCAGCCCCATGGTGTTGGCACAACTGAGGCACGTGCGGTCCCCGGGACTTCCTGCAGCAAAACAAAGGAAACAGTCAGTGTCAGACCAGGCGCTGCATGAGACCCCTCGGCCGTCTGAGGGAGCGCCTCTCTTTTTAAGGGAAGCTGCTGGCAGCCTGCTTGCATGCTGAAGAGGTCAGGGTGCTGCCAGGTGAAGGGTTTGCCTGGGAGGACACGGTGTCTTGGGGTGGCTCTAGACGGGAAGGAGAGTCTGAGTCAACCCCTGGCTCCTTGCCCAAGTGGGGACTCAGGCTGTGCCAGCCAAAGGCCCGGGGACTCCAGCTTCTGGTCCCAGGGGGACAGCTCCCTGCTGGCTCCAGCTGGGTTCTGGGGGGCAGAGCCAGAATGAACATGACCCCCAACGCACAGGCAGCCCCACAGTGCAAGCAAGGCCACACCCAAGGGACCCAACGCTTCCCCTGCCAACCGGAGGGGGCGAGGGCTGAGGGTCACTGGAAAAACCAATGCCCAGAGGAAGCCATTTCCTGTTACACACTGATGAGCACATGCCGCGATCTTAGGGTCTGGTTGCATCTTGACCCTTTCTCTAACTCACGAGTCCCCTCAGCATAAATGCAGGGTCACCCACAGGACCAGCCTTCAGGCCTCCTGTGGGCAGGCCCTGTGCCAGGACCAGCCTGAGGGGACAGGACAGTCCTGAGCCTGCTGGGTGCAGGCGGGAGCCTGGGTGGCTGGCAGCAAGGCCGGCAGGGCGGGAGTGCCTGGAACGGGCTGGGGCTGCTGAGAGCCAGCGCTGGGGCCAGCAGAGAGAGAAGGCGACGGGCTGGGGCAGGGGCTGACCGCTCTAGGCCCCGAGGCACAGCCGGGCGAGGTGGACCCTCTGAGGCCGTGGACTCCAGCTGTCACCGTGTAACTCGACAGGAGATGGTGTCAACACCAACAAGTCTCACTTTCCTGTGCAGAAAGCTCGTCCCATCAAACATTAAATTTAGATCTTGCTGTGGATGTCAGTCTAGTTGTAAGTTGGCTGGACTCACAAGCTCCATCACCGTGATTCACAAAGGAACCTTTTCTATGCCACATGGGACATTTCTGTTACAGTTACACAGTACGGCAAACGCCTTTCCAGCTGGGGAGCCCCCAGTTGTCTCCCAAAAAGAAGTCTGCCCCTCACCCCTGGCCTGTCCCCCTGCCTGCCCAGGCCAGCCCCCCACCTCAAGTTGGCTCAGAAATGGCTCCCCACCTGCACATGCCCCCAGCAGCCAACAAGCTGCCATGGCTCGAGGCGGCATGAATTCAGCCCCTCTCCCCAGACTCTGCCCGCCCCGCCCCGCCCCGCCCCTGCAGCAGGGAGGTGGCCCACGGACACTCTTTCTGAAGTCCTTTTGTGCTACTTTTCCCACAACCAACTCCCCACACCAGCTGTGTGTCCTACCCCTCAATTCTGACACTACCCGGGGTTAGTACAGACCCCAACTCACAGGAAACCGCCCACCTTCATACATGTCAGTTGGAAGTAGGGTCCCCAGGCTGCCCACATTCTACCAACTACAAATTCAGGGGTTCCCATGAACTCCTCACACTTTTTCTTTTTTTCTTTATTGGTTTCAGAGAGGAAGGGAGAGGGAGAGATAGAAACATCAATTCTGAGAGATAATCACTGAATGGCCTCCTGCACACACCCTAGAGGAGATCGAGCTGCAACCAGGGCATGTGCCCTTGACCGGAATCGAACCCAGGACCCTCAGTCCGCAGGCCGACACTCTATCCACTGAGCCACACCAGCTAGGCCTGAACTTCTCACTCTTGACAATTTGCTAGAATGACACCGAACTCAGGAAAGTGCTCTCCTTGTTACTGCTGTTTCTCGTAAAGGACACAGTGGACGCCCAGATCAGGGGGCACAAAGCTCCCGGCCCAGCAGCCCTGAACGCAGAAGCCCCCCTGTCCCAGACTTGTACCCTCACTGCCATTGGCCACTGAGCTCAATCTCCAGGCCCACTTCTCCCTGGAGGCTGGGGTGGGGCAGGAAGGGCCGGCCGCTAATCACAGGTGCTTCATTAGCATAAATTCAGGTTAGAGGGAAAGGGGCTCCTTTATATCACCGGAGCACCCTGAGCACTCGGGAAATTCCTCCACCGCGTGGCGCAGGGGCTGAGGTCATGGACTGATTCCCGGTCAGGGCTCATGCCGGGGTGGCTGGCTTCATCCCGTGTGGGGCGAGCAGGAGGCAGCCAATCGGTGACTGATGACTGTCTCTCATCATTGAGGTTTCTATTTCTTTCCCCCTCTCCCTTCCTCTCTGAAATCAATAAAACATATGGGGGGGGGGGGATGAGAAACATCAATGATGAGAATCATCAATTGGCTGTCTCCTGCACGACCCATGCTGGATACTGCACCCTCAACCCAGACGTGTGTCCTTGGTGAGAATCGAAGCCGGGGACCTTTCAGTCCACAGGCCAGTGCTCTATCCACTGAGCCACACCAGCCAGGGCCTATGTATATATTCTAAAATATGAACAAGAAATCCCCAGGGCTTTTGGAGCTCTGGCAAGAACTGGGGAGGGCACAGAGACCAAGTGCGTTTCTTCCCATCCCACCTCTCTCCTCACTGGGCCCGATTCTCTCCGCCAGCTGCTGCTCCCCCTGCTCCAGGCAGCTCCTCTCCACCCCACCTCCAGCTCCCCGTGGCACTCCGCACCCGAACACCTGCGGGTGCACTGGACCAGGGCCCATGGGCACTGCCATTCAACAGCTCTGAGACCTCCAGCTCCCCGCCTGCTCCCGAGCCCTCCGTTTCAGCAATGGCCCGGGCTGGAGCCTCCCCTTTGGGCGCCTGCCCCTGCTCTCACACGCAGGCCCTGGGGAAGCTGGCCTGCCCACCTGCAGGCAGCCCAGGCCCACTCCAAGCATGAACTGCACACAGCACTTCCTCCAGCGAGCATGGTGTGCGAATGGGGGCGGGGCAGGAGCAAAAGGGCGGGGGGGGGGGGGGGGGGGGGGGGCTGCAGAATAGAGGAACTGACAGGCACCACCTTAGCCCTGCCGTACCTCTCACTGACAGCATGCACCCCGATGAGACGGGATGAGGGACTTCCCTCCCCCAAGCCCACACCCACTCCACCCATGTGAGAATGGGATACACCCCACAGAGCAGCATCCTGCAGAGAATCCGCCCAGTCCTCCCACCGCCACGAGGGAATGCGCCGTGGTCCTGGGATGCAGAGAGCACGTCAGAAAAAGCGTGTGCGGGGCAGGAGTGTGTGACAGGGGAAAAAAAAAAAAGGTATCAAATAAAAGAAATGTAAGCCAGCCTGGCCCACAGCTAACAAAGTTTCAACACTGGTTTAGCAACTGTAGCCAAGTACACCAAGTCAGATGTCAGATGTCAGGAGCGGGGCATGCCCTCCAGAAAATGGGCCACAGCAGCCAGGGGGGGTCCGAGGGGGAGCCAGGGGGAGCCCCCCCTCTGCTCGCCCCCCTCGGGTAGCAAACCCGCTGCCTACCGCCCGGTGTCTGCGTAACCGGGAACAAAACCACAGGGAACACTCGTGTTCCCGACATGACAGCGCAGGCACACAGCGCGGCCAACGCCAGCCCGTCCGCCGGCCAGGACGGTGGCGGCCAGGGCACCGTCAGCGCCCTGCACGGGGAGCCCTTCCGGGCCGCCGCTCCAAAGGTCTGCGCAGCCAGCCAGCAGCGCGATTAAAAAATCACCAAGCCGCGTCCCTTGGAGGCTCCTGGTCAGCGGCCAAGCGCCCAGAGCAACATCCTTCACCGAGTCTCCGTCTTACAGGGCGAGTGCGCGCTCCGCTCAGCCTGCCAGTAGGGACAGACCGGGGCGGGGGGTCCATGTACAAGGGGGGCGCCAGGGTGGACCCTCAGAGCCCAGCGCTGGGGGTGATTTCCAGGGCACAGCTGGGAGCGCGGGCGGCACCCCGCACCGGCCCCCGACACCCCGCACGCCCCAGGTCCCAGGTCCCGCCCGCCGTGCCCGCCCCCCCGCCGCCTCGCCTCATCTCGGGAGCCCGGGAAGCGGCCCAAGGACACGGCCGTGCTCGTGATGGGCGCCGCGTTCCACGGAGCTTAGCCGCGAGCAGCGGGCGCGCCCAGGGAGACGTCAGCGCGCTCGCCGCTTCCCCGGCCGCGCTCCTCGCCGCGGCGGCGGGCGGCTAAGGTCACGGCGGCGTGAGTCACAGGCCGCCGCCGCCGCCGCCGCCGCCGGCCTCCCGGGCGCCCGGCCCCCGCCCCGGACCCCGGCCCGCACCCGGGCGTGGCGCAGGGCAGGGCGGCCGGGCCCAGCGGCGTGGCCACACCCGCCGCGTCCCGGCGCCCGGGCCGCCGCCAGGAGCCCCCTCGCCCGGCTCGGCGCCTCGGCCCCCGGCCCGCGCAGTCGGCGGAGCACTCACCCCCGCGGGCGGCGGCGTGGGGCGCCGGGAAGCGGGCGGGCCCCCGGCTGCGGCAGCTCCTCAGTAAGATGGACGCCATGTGCCCGGCGGCTCCCGCCTCCTGCGGCGGCCTCCTCCTCCTCCTCGCCGGCCTGGCGGCGGCTCGGCCCGCCCGCGCGGACGGTTGAGGCGGCGGTTGGCTGCCGGCGGCGGGCGCTCAGCTCAAGGACCCGGCACCGGCGGCGGCCATGTCCCGGCACAGACGTCCGGCGGCGCGGGGCGGGGCGACCGGGCGCCGCTCCCATTGGGCCTCTCGGGCGCCCGCCGCCGGCCAGGTGAGGGCGGTCCCGGCGTGCCCCGCGCCGGACTACGGGTCCCGACGTGCCCCGCGGCCCTGCCTGCGCGGTGCATTCTGGCCCTCGGTACGCCGCCGCGCACGCGCAGAGGGAGCTAAGGCGCTTGCGTCGGGGGTTGAAGGAGGCTTTTTCCGCGTCCGGTGGCGGCGGGCCTCGAGGGCGCCGTGGACCCGGCGCTGCGCGCGGACGGCCCCGCCGGGCCTGGGGAGTCCGGCCCCGCCGCTCTGTGGTTGGCCTCGGCGCCGTGGGGCTGCGGTCTCGGAGCGGCGGCCAGCGCCTAGCCAGCGCCTGGTCCGCCGCCCGGCCTCGTGTCCCGCCCGGCCTGCCCATCCCCCGCCCGGGACGGGGCCTCGGGAATTCCCGCCTGCGCCGGCCCCACCCGCGGGCCGCCCCGCCGAGCCCCAGCGAAGCCTGGCGGCGTGACCTTGGAGTCCCGCGCTCCCTTCCCTTCGAGGAGCTCACGCTCGCGGGGGTCGGCGAGGTCACGCCGGGAGAGCGGCCGGCGGGCGTGGAGCCGGTCTCCCCTGCAGGCTCGTCCGTCCCTGCATCCCAGCCTGGCCGCACCTGGCTGTCTCCTGGGCCTCGCCTCACTGCTCCTCTCTCCCGCCCCATCCGCCTGGGCACGTGTTCTCTGAATGCACGGGGTGGACGCCTGGCCCCAGCAGGCTCCCTAGTCCTGAGCTCCCCCAGCTCCTGCTGGCACCATCCGGAAGGAGCGGTAGCCCTGCCATCGTTCTGAGTCAGAACTGCCAGGTGCTGGGCCAGGATTGGCCTGCTGTCCTCATCCCGGTTGGGAGAAGGTGGTGCCAGCCGGTGCAGGGCACTTTGAAAATGACGTGAAGTGCCTGAGTGGGCACTGGGCGCCATACAGTCAAATGCGAGCTAATCTAAGCACGTGTGCCAGAAACCCAGCCTCCACTGCCCAGGAGCGACCCAGCCAGGCCCTTTGCGGGCCCATCCACCCAGGAGCCAAGGGGTGTAAGGAAGGACATTCCTGGTTCCTGCGCCCAAGGTCAGGCCTGGCCATGGGGACAGGCACTCGGGGGCGGACAGGACTGGCATTTTAGTGCCCAAAGTGTGCAGGCGTATGTTTGCCTTAGTGCCTTAGCTGACAGCCCCAGGGCAGGGAGGTGAGGGCCCAGAGAACGTCCCCACTGCTGCCGAGCGGTGCCCGCTGGCCCAGACAGGCCTGAGCAGGAGGCGGTGAGAGCCGCTCAGGAGTGCCTCAGGACTTGGGAAGACATGGGTGGGGAGGTGAGGAGGGAGCCCCCACCGGTGTTGCCAAGGCTCCAGCCTTAAAAAAAAAAAAAGGAAAAAGAAAATGCAGCCACACTGCTCACTTCCCTTGAGATGACCCCCTGGCCTGGCCCAGTGAGGGGGAGGGGGGGAGTAAGCAATAGGGTCCCCACAGGGGCGAGGTGCCTGGGGTGCTGGGCACCACCCACGAGTTCTCTGCAGCCCAGGCTGGCTGGGGCGTCAGAGAAACTAATTTCTTTTTCTTTTTTTTAAATGTTTTTATTCATTTCAGAGAGAGGGGGAGAGAGAGAGAAACATCAATGATGAGAGAGAAGCATTGCTCAGCTGCCTCCTGCACGCCCCCTCCTGGGGTTCAAGCCCACAACCCAGGCTTGTGCCCTAAGACTTCAACCCTGACCTCCTGGTTCCTAGATCAATGCTCAAGCACTGAGCCGCGCCAGCTGGGTGAGAAACGCACTCTTCAACAGTGTGTTTATTGGGTTAGCTGGTTATCTAAAGAACGTGTGCTCAGCCCTAACCGGTTTGGCTCAGTGGACAGAGCATCAGCCTGCGGACTGAAGGGTCCCAGGTTCGATTCCGGTCAAGGGCATGTACCTTGGTTGCGGGCATATCCCCAGTAGGGGGTGTGCAAGAGGTAGCTGATGGATGATTCTCTCATCAATGTTTCTAACTCTCTATCCCTCTCTCTTCCTCTCTGTAAAAAGTCAATAAAATTTATAAAAATACATATTTTTTAAAAAATGTGTGCTCATAGTAGCTATTTCAAGTTTACAAACAAGTATAAATGAACAAGGAAGTAGCCATACGGCATCCGACCACCTGCCCTAAGTCACCTAATGCCACACCAGCAGCCGTCTTCCCGCCCTGCATCCACCCCACCGTCCAAGGGCGCAGAATCGGGGCACAGCTGCTTTGTTTTAATGCCATGGGTTTTTTTTTTGCCTTTTTCTCTTTATGTGGGGGCTCCCTTTTCCCCTCCCCTGTGGTCCCCCAACTCCTAATAACCTTCCATAATTGCTGTGCATTTCCCCCAGTGACAAGAGTGGAGAGAAACGGGGTGGGGGTGGGGTCCCCAGGACCGCTCCAGTTAGGGGCCAGATCAGGCTACGATGCGGTCAGGAGGCAGGTTAGGGGTCAGGGTGCCCGCGGAAGACTCCGAGGGGCTTTGAGCTGTCCATCAGCCACACTCAGATGCAGATGGATTAGAGCAAGTTGGAGTTTTGCCCAAAAGCATGATGGAGGGAGAGGGAGGGGCCATGGAGTCCAGGTGTGTGCAAGGGTGACTGTGAGGCTGGGTGGGAAGTCTGAGCTGGGAGGAGGGGGAGGGAAGAGGAGGTGGAGGGGGTGGAAGGTGACAGCATCGCGGGCCTGGGGGTCTGCAGGAGGTTTGGAGGTTTGGGTCCCAGAGTGAGTGAGCTGGCCAGAGAGGGGCGCTTGGAGCTAGAGCCGGGACTTCGCTGGACCCTCCTCCCTCTGCTTCCCTCTGCTGGCAGGCGCTTGGGAGCTGGAACAGAGGAAAGGAGCCCGGACTGGGCCGGCCGCACTCTGTCGGTGTGGCCGAGGAGCTGCTTCTCTGTTGTTTGAAGGGGTTTCTGTTCCGGTTTAGGGAACAGGGCACCTGACTTCAAGGCAGACCTGGGAGGCGGGTTCGTTGGGCAGCGTGGCTGCAGAGGCATGTTTTTGTTGTTTGTTGTTAATCCTCACCCGAGGATATTTTTCCCAATGATTTTTTAAAATTTATTTAAAATATATTTTTAGCCCTAGCTGGTTTGGCTGAGTGGATACAGTGCCTGCCTGTAGACTGAAGGGTCCAGGGTTTGATTCCGGCCGGGGTTGTGAGGGTGTGCAAGAGACAGCCGGTCAATGATTCTCTCTCATCACTGATATTTGTATTTCTCTTTCTTTCCCTCCCTCTCTGAAATCAATAAAAATATATATTTAAATATATATTTTTAAAATATATTTTATTGATTTTACACAGAGAGGAATTGAGAGGGATAGAGAGTTAGAAATGTCGATGAGAGAGATACATCGACCAGCTGCCTCTTGCACCCCCCACACTGGGACGTCCGCGCCCTTGACCGGAATCGAACCCGGGACCTTTCAGTCCGCAGGCCGACGCTCTATCCACTGAGCCAAACCGATTTCGGCTAAATATATATATTTTTTTAATTGAGGGGAAAGGAGAGATAGAAACATCAATGATGAGAGAATCATTGATCGGCTGCCCTCCCCCCACCACCACCATCTTCTGGGAATGGAGCCTGCAACCCCGGGCATGTGCCCTTGACCGGAACTGAACCGACCCCTCAGTCCACAGGCTGACGCTCTATCCACTGAGCCACACTAGCCAGGGCCAGAAGAGCCCTTTTGTCAACATCTACTGGCTTTCGTTTTCAAACGGAAACTGTTCCAGTTTCACTTCATGGTGTTAAAGAGCAGTGGTGTCCGCAGGGGAGCAGCCTGCCGAGGTGGGGTGGTCCCGGCCAGGGCTGCGCCGTGACCGGCTCGCTTCACCCGTGGGAGGCGGGGAAGGCCGGGTGGGCCGCCGGGAGCAGCTGGCGGGAAGGGGCTGCGCAGGCTCTGCGTCTGGCGGTGGCGTGCTGTTTTTAAAACACGGTGATTGAGTTGAACACACAGTATAGCCCTGATGTCCTCCCCCGGGAGGAGCTCGTGGTGAAATGGCTGTCAGCGCCCGAGAGGGGCCCCAGGGGGAGCGTCTGACTCCTGCTGCCTTTGGTGTGGCCAGGGCCCTGGTGTGCTGCGGGCTGCTCTCCCGGGAGCTCCGGCTGCTCACCCCGCAGAGGCGGTGAGCTGGCCAGGGCACGCCTTGCCTGCCTCCACTCAGTCATCTTTGAATGAACCTGATGGGGTGGGGTGGGTTGTGCTATTTTATTTTATTTTTTTGTCTTTTAGGAGTTTAAGTCTTTTAATTTTAATTTTTAGTAAATCATCACCCTGGGATACTTTTCTATTGATTTTATTTTTAGAGAGAGTGGGAGGGAGGGGGAGAGTCGAGAAAGAGAGAAACATTGATGTGAGAGAGACACATAGATTGGTTGCCACCCGCACGCTCCCCCTGATCAGGGCCAGGGATTGAGCCTGCAGCTAAGGTACACGCCCTTGACCGGATCCTAACCCAGGTCTGCAGATCGATGCTCTTCACTGAGCCAAACCAGCTGGAGCACTTTCCAGTCTTTTTAAGACGGTTTGTAGCTGATGCTCACGAAGAGCAGTGAGCACCTGAGCCAGGCTGCCGCGAGAGGAGGTCCTGCCTGAGAAGGAGGGGTCCTGGCACCCCCCTGCTGGGCCCGGCTCAGCAGGCCTGCGCTGTGCCCTCCGGGCCGCCGGGCTGCGCCTGTGAAGGCGGCTCACCTCACCGTGTGCTGCTTTGTGATACACGGTGTGGCCATGCTTTAGCCCAGCTGTTTTTAATGATGTTCTACAATTGTTTTCTTCCCAGATGATGATGGAGAAGCTAATTTTTATTTAATTTTTGTAAATCCTCACCTGAGGATATTTTCCCATAAGTTTGTTTGTTTGTTTGTTTGTTTGTTTTTGAGAGGGGGGGGGGGGGAGGGAGGGAGGGAGAGAGAGAGAGACTGGAAGGTAGGGGCAGAGACAGAGAAACACCGATGTGAGAGAGAAACACCCTAATCAGAGCTGGGAGCCTACAACCGAGGTTCATGACTGGAATCAAACCTGGGACCCTTCAGTCTGAAGGAAGACACTCAACCCAATTAGCCAAACTGGCCAGGGCGAGAAGCTACTTGTTAAAAAACGGTGCCTGGCTGAAACCGGTTTGGCTCAGTAGATAGAGCGTGGCGTGTGGACTGAGGGGTCCTAGGTTTGATTCCGGTCAAGGGCATGTACCTTGGTTGCGGGCATCCCCGGTGGGGAGTGTGCAGGAGGCAGCTGATCAATGTTTCTCTCTCTCATCGGTGTTTCTAGCTCTCTATCCCTCTCCCTTCCTCTCTGTAAAATCAATAAGATATATATATTTTTAAATGGGGCCTGGCCCAACGGTGCTCGCCCTCTAGGTAGCAGGCCTGGCCTTTCTCCTCCCTCCCCTGGCGCCCCCGCCCCTG